CTTTATCATCATGGCCCCTGGCCTGAGCTGTGTGATGTAGCACAGTCTTCTTTGTGTCCCTGGCCCTTGGACATGAAAAAACAGGAGGGTTTCTGCAGGGGTCTTGTGGTTTCTTAGTTTGCATCAGTCGAAACGTCTGTCCAGCCTGGATTCCCTGATTCCAGAATTTGACTTTCACACATGAACAATACAGCAGGAGATTCTCTGCTCCAACACATTCACAACAACACAGAAATCTCCAGAGCCTTCAGTTGAGGGGTGGTGCAGCAGGCAGAGGCAGAATGTAATGTATTAATTCTGCTGCAGAGATTTTTGTTTACAACACATCGACACTGGCGTTGCCTCTTATCACCAAAAGCTCTCTCCCTTTTCCTATGTGTCTTCTACATGTGTGGCACTGCTGTTTCATCCAGAGAAACTGATATTATTTATTTATATATATATATATTTTTTTTTTGCATCTGTTCATGTTAGAAAAGTCATCAACACACCCACTCGCCCGTGGTTCAGGATCTCCTGCTTTATTATCACATTGGCTCATTTGGACAATCTGAGGAGCTTTTTCAGAGGGCTGACATGAGAAACTCTAGACACTCTCAACTGGACTTTGACTTTGACATGGACCTTGACTTGGCGTTCTCACATTCATCCCTTCTGGAGAATGTCCAGAGAGCCTCTCATTAACCTTCTGTCACCCTCTGTTTCCAGCAGACCCTAGGCATCTTAATAGAGTGCTGGACCCCATCCGACCAGACCCTCCCCTTCACCCAAAGCCCAACCTCCTAGAGCGCCCCATTGGCCCCCTGCCACCCAAACCTGCCATCGCAGCCAAACCTCCCCTCCCCATGCCGACTGCCCCTGCAGGGGGAGGAGCTCGCCCATCTTCTGCTCCTCCATCCAGCAGGCCAGGCGAGAGTGGAGTACAGGTAATATTGCACTCAGTCAGAAAGTTACTTCAGTGCTATAGGGAACATATTCCATATCTAATGCTTCACATTAAGGGCCAAAGCAACCACTTTTTACATCAAAAAGTTTATAATGGGCAGAATGCAGGCAAAAATGAATTAGATTAATTTGCAAGTTCCCTCCAAAAGAGGACCAGTGCAATAAGATAAAGATGTTTGATGTTGGATAAGGCACTTTGCTGTGGCTTTGTAGAGCTTAGTTTAGAGATTATTCAAATAAAATGATTTAATGAATGTATTTGTGAAAATACCAAAGCACAAAACCAACAGTCTGCTACACCAACCAGATCTTGGCTGAGGAGACAGGCCAGCTGGCAGGAACAGACTCTATGATACAAGATGCAGGTAGCTGGTTCACAGTGACAAACTGGGAACAGGTAGCAGGTGCACTAGGAACACACTGAACATTATGTTGCCTTCAAATGGAACTCATGAGCTTGTGGTTACATTGTATGAAGTTGTTTACATGATGTGCTTGGTGTTTAAGTTGTGAGAACACTGCTGCTAAACAATGGCAACATGGATGCTAAAATTAGATACTTTCAGTGCCTAAAACCCAAAGATGCTGAAACTTTAGGAGGCGTGTAACGTAATGCAGGTAATGTAGATGAAACAGATTTAACATTAAGTCGCAAAGACACTCTTCCTTTACGAAAATTATATTATTCATCATTCATCAAAAAATGAACTTCCATGACCATTTCTGAAATCAAGCTGTAAAAATCAGTGCTTATGTTAATTCTGAGGTCAGAGGTTGTAAATACCATTAAAGAGGCTGTTAAAAGACACTCTTCTCTGAACACGTACACATAACCTCATTTGTAGGCAGAAAATATGAACTGACAAACAGCAAAGGAAGGGAACTTGAATAAATAATACAGAGTAGATCAGTGAATAAGGAATAGGTGGGTGGAGCTCCAGGGACTGTCAGGGTGAAGTTCAGTGGGGACAGGTGTGGGGATGGGTGGGACAAAGGTACATGGAAGACAAGGGGAGTCACAAGGCAAGAAACGGGCAGTGATATGATGGAGGTACTGCCACGCACTCACTGCTATTATATGGTGTCTGCTAGAAACATATTTGTGTTTTGTCAAATGTTTTGTCATGAAATTATCAAGGTAAAACGTAAATACATCTCAGCCACTACATACAACATTGGTTTGATTCTTCTCTGCCTCCGTATATCCACATCCGTCATGACATAGCAGTCACATTGTTTGTGTCATAGCCCTCTGAGCACCTTCTGATCATCATCCCTAGAATGGAGGCCAGGACAGTCCCCAGAGTGCAGCCTCAGCTCCGTCCCCCAGGAAAGAGCAGCTTCCTCCATCCCCATCTCCATGGAGGGGTCCCAGTGCACAGGATCGCTCTGAGAAAGCCCAATCAGTGACAGATGGTACGTCCCACCCATCTCATTAAAATCAAATCATTCATGCTAATTAGCTTTGTCTGATGTATTATTCAATGGTTATGTGCTCTTATGAGGAATCAGGTGTGGTCTGGTGAGTGTGGTGTGTTTATAGGGAGGGAGGGTCTGAGTGAGGCAGCTGTGGAGGCAGCTGTGAACTCATGGTTGTCTGTACCACAACTTAACAGATCCCAGCTATTATCACATAGATGTAACATGACAGTCAATGTGAGTGAAAATACCAATTAGGAAGACAATACACTGTAAAATATATCATTTAAATGAGGGCTGTGATGGTAACAGCAATACATGTATGCATGCATGTATGTATATCTTTGATTTATTTACATGTATGTCTGTATATTTGTGTGTCTCTTTCAGAGACTCTTCCCAAGCCACGCCAACATGTGAAGTCCCTTCCACAACGTAGAGCTGTGTCCGTCCATGAAGACACTCTGGCCATGACACAAGGTTTGATAAAGACACAAGGTTTGATAAAGACATAAGTATTTGATAAAGACACAAGGTTTGATAAAGACATAAGTATTTGATAAAGACACAAGGTTTGATAAAGACATAAAGACTTCTCACAATGAATACCAAAATTAATTACCTGTTATCATATACATGTTCGGGGCATAGTGACACTTTATGAATCATTATAAAGCAATTGTTCATGTTGTATTCTGCATGACCATATTCTACAACCCTTAGACCATTAACCAAATGTTTGTCCCTCAATAACCTCTGAATAGCTTATTGAACTTATGTTGTATGGGCCAAGTAGTACCACATTCAGAGTCATTCCCCCTTAATAAATATATTATTTTATTATTTAACAAAACAACAAAGCAGGTCAAACAGTTACTGGGGGCCTGGGACAGAGAGAAGGATTTTGTAAGTGATGTTGGACTTGACTGGAAGTTAAGATGGATTAGAGTGGGGGAGATGAGCTGCCAGGACTTTTGAGTGAGAACCCCAGCAGCAGAGCTCTGCAAATACTGGAGCCTGTCTATGTCCCACTACCCCAGACAGGTCTTTTCACACGTTAATCTTGTACAATTTACTGTTGACCTCCATATGTTGAAGCCTGCCTACCTTTGTCTCATCTCTCTCAGAGCTGAAGGCAGTGTTACAGAGGTCACCCATCCGTTTCCGGGGAAACAGAGGGGACTTACCCACCTGCACTGAAGATCCATCCAGTGCAGAGGGAGCACAAAGAGCTCAGGAAGGTGAGATGTGTTTATCAGTCACAGTTATTTCTACTTTTCTTACTCTTTGCTTCCTTGTTTTTCTTTTTTTCAATTTAAACATGCTCTTCCAACTGTCTGTGTCTTTCATCCCCTCAGCCAGTGACTCAGGAAAAGAGTCAGCTGGAGACAAAAAGGTCCAGAAGGAGGAGCTGAAGTCACAGAAAGTTGGCGGGACGATAGCTGAAGCAAAGAGCCCCCCTCCAGGAGAGGAAGAAGCCCCAGGCTCAGGGTGCCCCTCCTCCACAGCTCAGATTCAACAAAGAGTATCAGCATCTCGACTCTTCACTCCAGCGGCAGCCCTCAACAAAGCTTCGTCCACCCAGGAGAGGGCTCCAGCACGAACCCCAACGCTGGAAAAGCCTCCTGTAACCTCCACATCCCAGAAAAAGAGCCCCAGCACAGTCCCAGCGTTGGTCCCAACTCTCGACAAACTGCTTGTGTCCCTACCACTCCAAGACAAGACCTACAGCACAACCCCAGCTGCATCTGAATCCCCAGAAAATCCCAATGTGAGTTCTGTGTCCCACAAGAAGAAGAGCCCCAGCACAGCACCAGCCACAATGGATCTGGAAAACAGCACAGAGGAGAGAAGAGAGGCGCTCTTTAAACAGCACACAATGAAGGCAGAGCCCGCAGACCAAAGAACTGAGTCCCCTCTGTCTGAATAACACACACACAGTGACTTACCTTAGGAGAAAAGACACACCTGGGAGATGGAGGGAGGAGGGGTCTGTGACATCACTGAGATCAGGAACTGGGAGGGTACATGAGTTCTGAGAGAAACCCCCTGTGGACAAAAGCTGCTGGGTCCCCACATCATTAGTGTTCTTCTGAGAACTAGGTATTATTTAGTAAACATGGTTGGTGCTTGTTTTAATGCTAGCTCACAGCTAACATCTCTGCAGCTGTTTTACTCTGACTTGAGTTAAAATTGGTCAAATCCAATGAAATCATGGCTACTGTTTTTTTTTTAGGCTTCCAGATTCACATGATTTTGGCAGCTAGGTTTTATTTTCTGGTTTGTGCTTATTTACCCCAACAGCAAATATATAGATGTTAGCTGTAGCTAGTCAGCAAGACTCACCAATTGTGCGACTGAGTGTGTTTGTGTGTGATGATCTCAATAAGGGACTTTGTTCTGTTTTTTGCTCCAGACTCATGATTTTTCATATCTTCTTACACTGATGAAATGACATGGAGTCATAAATTGTTCTATTGTACACTCTCCACAAAGAGATGACACATTTAGCAACACATTTAGTTCGTGTAGTTCATCAACATGTTAGGTTTCAACACAAATACACAAAAATCACCTGCCTATATAAATGTGACCATTATGATATAATAACAGGTTTTATAGGTTCATGAAACCTTCTTATCTTCTTTTACTTCCAGGTTTGTCTTCAGTCCACAATGACATATTTTATTTTGACTTACATCCGAGTGATTAATTGACAATTGGACCTGTTAAGCTAATTTAAATTTTGTTAAACGTTGAAATCTTAATGAGTCAAAAAATATTGATTGAATGGTGTTCTCTCTCTCAATGCTCTGTTTCTTTTTTGTCATTGTCCTGATATTCAGGTTGATGCTGTTTAGGAGGTGTGATCTGATTTGTAACATGTCAAATATGTTCATTAAGCTACTTTCTATTGTTACTTAGGTCCTGCAGTGTATATCACAGTCTCTAACAACTTCCATTCTGACAGGCAGGAGATAAAAATTCTGTCCTGCTGTCATACAGACATATTACTCTCTCCTGAGGTTGCTCCATTTAACACTAGATAAAAAAAACTTTGCACTATACCATACACACACTGAGCGGCATGAATGGAATTACAGTACCAAACCCATAGTTACATTTATTTTTCATTATCTTTAAATAAACATCTATGGGATTTATGGATATAAACACACTGCTGAGGGAGATGAGCTAGAGTTACATACGAAGGAGTTCAGTTTTCAGGTACACAAACTTTGGAACTGTTGAGAGCTCTGGTGAGAGGAATTAGCCACTGTTTTTTTATGTTTTTGCCCTTATAGACGCTGCATGGTATATCGAAAATACAATCACTGCAGGACCTCAGCAGTTTACAGGAACAGTTCTCCGTTGCTTGTTTGACTTGATCAGTCATTTAGACCATCATGAATCTGATTTGAAATCCAATTTCATTATGTACTAGAGCGTCCGACTGATAAATACAAGGTTGTTAAACACCAACAGCCTGTTTTTAAGGAAATGCCCAAAGTTTCATTGCTTTTATTTCAGTAATTTACAGCAGTTTAAATAACAGTCATCACGTTTGTCATCATATCTGTTTGAGCAGGGGAAACTTCATATCAGAAGCACAGCACAAAAAATTCCTCTACACTACTTATTGAAGGCTACATTATGCCATCCAGGTTTTAGAAATATTCCAGTTTCTTTATTTGGCTTGTTAAGGTGTTTTCATATTAAGCCTTAGCATCTTCAGATGAACAAATGGAACGCTCTGTCTGATTCAGTCACTGTCACACATTAGGTTCAAGTTAGGTTCACTCATTCCATTACACAACTATTAGTATGTCCATCATATCACAGGAAGGAGCATATAAGTATGATCAGATGTGGTGTAAGATTAGAATCAGTGTGTTCAGTCTATGGAAGTTTCAGGGTGGTTGTGGAGAATGGTGCGTGTTTAGTGACAGCAGACCTCAGTTCTGCTCCTGATGTTGTCAGCGACCTGAGCCTCCGTCTCATCCTGGGGTAGAGTTTATTTTCTACTGTCATGTTTATCTTTGCCTTGCACGCACAGGATATGTACAAAACTACATAAGCAAACAAAACAAAGTTATGAACAGAGTGTAAATCCATACCTATACTTATAATTATTAAAAGTTGATTGAGTTGTGTCAAAAATGTGTATTCTCTTGTTTTTGTTGTGATTCTGTTGATTAATGTCGTCTTTCATTCAGAGTTTTGTAAAGTTTGTAAAGTCCCAGAAAACTTTCCTTATGTTAAACTGGGAGACTCCAAATTGAGAAGGAAAAGGCTACAGTATGATTATTTATTATTGGACCCAATGTTTGAGGGGCTCTACCTGAAATAATGAGGAAAAGTTAGGATATATCTTGTGCTGCTTTAGATTCTTACTTGACACATTTATGGACTAACCTGCTTGCATGCCAGACAATTTTACTGTATCTTTAAATCTCATATGAAATACTTTTTGCGACACTTTTTTTGCTTTTTAATTAATTTTGGGATTTACCTTTCACCTCGTTTTGTCAGTATATTTGCAGAAAATACAGTCAGCAGGGTTCCCAAGGTTGGGGTTCCTTTGCATTTTCTAAAGGTTTTAATTATTAGCTTCTGTGATGTATAAGTGAAGTGTGCTCATGCTGAGTAGTGAAATAAGCCTTCTGAAGGGGAACCCAAAATGATCCCACATATCTGGGACCCCATTTTTTTGGGGACAAGCAGGGGAATCAAACCACCATAGTTAGTGTACAACCTGTTCTAACTTCTGAGCCACAGAAGCCCTGGATCAACGTGGGAACCTGGTTTGTGTAATGCTGTATTTAACCTCTATTAAGACAGTAAACTAACACCAAAAATAAGACATGACGTTTTTGTAATTTAAAGACATTTAATATATAACACAGCCTATTATTGTTGGCAGCTATACAATGACAATATAAAGGAAAGTACAACTATTATATGTGTTTCAGATTACAGACTCTTTCTTTACATAAGAATATTTCATCTCCAGTCTGAAATTATAATTTATCTGTCAGCAGTTTCACATCAAGTCAAAAATAAAACATCTGAGGGGCTTTATGAAAAAGAACAGGCATCTAAAGTATCTCTTTTTGTCTGATTCCATTATCACAAACTGAGCAGCATCTCTTTGGCTTTCATACATGTTCTCCTGCTCCCATGAGAAGGTGAAATGACACATACAACTGTTTTCTGTAAATAGTTCTCTATGGAAAAGAAAACATGTTGGGGAGGTTTGTAGAATACCCTGAGTGACAGTTACTGGGTGTTTGTGGAGAGGCATGGTGCTGTTGAGCTCATTCAGCTTCAGGAGGAGGCGCAGCAGGAGTCTCAAAAGATACACTCTCATGACCTCAACAAATCAGATCCAAAGAATTGGGAAAACATGATCTCAGTGTTTTTGAAGTCAAGTAAGAAGTGTTGAATGAGCTCATAGTTGTAGGCTTTGTCTGCTGAAATAAATAACTTTGAACCATACAATCATACATCAACTCTGTGAGCATTTAAGGTTCAGGTTTTCTGTCAGGGTGTTTTTGGGGCAAGGAATGGTCAACACAATGGACTTCACAGCATACTCTATGTGTGCAGTTGACTGGGAAATATTAATGAGCAGTCAAATACACAGAGAGCTCAGGTACACTAGCATGAAGTCTTTTAATACAGTTAGAAGAGCAGGCCATGAGCAAAAATGAGCAATAAATGAGTCTTCTTGTTTGTCAGAAGCAGTCAACCCTGCTGAGTTGTATCCATTGTGTCTAATTATCAAGATAGGAACATGATTTAAAGGACCATACTGAAGCTGTTTCTGTTTCTCCACCTTCCAGTTATGAAAATGAACTGAATACAAATAAAACTCAGCCATTTACATTTTTTGTCAAAAGGATGGTTTGGTTCTTGTATTGTAGTAGCTGTAAGTATGGACATGATGTTCAAGGATGCTCCAACATCTGAGAGCTGGGATTCACTGCTTTTTCATGCAAATGAAACTCAAAGTCACATTTTTGTAAAATGGTCAGTGATATTTGTATATAGCAGAGAAGCGCATATAAAGCCAGTGATATGGTCCTTCAATCTGAATCCCATGCTGTGGTTTCACTTTGACTAAACTAATTCCAACTTTCCACCATGTGACACGTGAATATTTTCAAAAATCAAACTGCCAGGACTGACACAGGGGTTACAGCTACTTCTGTCTTTATGCTTCTGTGCTTTCTAAGCCTCATCTTCACTGCCTGGCTCTTCTGGCTGGAACACAGGATTGTGTGTCAGGTTTTGTAGATCATCTGGAGTTATCTCTCTCATTTTCCCATCCATGCTGAGCTGCATGGGCTGGATCACATTGTTCCTGCCGAGAGAAGTGTTTCAAATGAAATAATGAGGGCATGTGTAAGTATAAATTGAACTAAGTCTGCAGCCCTGAACACTGAACACTGCGGCAGTATTAATTACTGAGAAAATGGCAGGAAGTGCAACTGAATAAAAAACTGAGTGCATCCAAGTTGATACTTCTCAAACTTAATTACAAATCCTGTTCAAATGTATGTTTTTAAAGCACCTAAACATAATTGGTGGTGGTCGCTTTCCAAGAGCTTTAGCTATTCTTGTCTTTACAAGACAAGATATAATATATCATCTGAGCATAGTCAATTCATTGGGACAGACTCGATGCTTCAGTGATGGGCCAGCCATGTTTAGGCTACTTGGTGGGCATACGAACTTCAGCAGAAGCAGCTCTGTTCCAGCTGATGCTCAGCAGGATACTGATGCTCTAAACCTTATTCATCCTCACAAAGTTTCAATCTGGTTTATATCTTCTCTCAGCACGTGGAACCATATTACAGCAAATACAACAGGTCCACAGGTTAATTCATAACCTTGTTCATGTAATTATAGAAAAATCGCAGGTGTAATCACAGTGGTGTTCATGCACGGATGCTGTACTTTAAGAAACATATTTTCAATATAGTCTATTTGTTCCATCCATCCATCCCATTATCCTTTGAGGGTCACAGGGGGGAAGATGAAGCTAATCCCAGCTGAAATTGGGCGAGAGGCAAGGTACACCCTGGACAGATCAGCAGCCCATCACAGGACTAACATACTTAGACTAACATATGCTGCCCTAGTCAATTTGTCTGAAGTTACATATAAAACCAAATACACTTAACTTCAACTTAATCATTTAACATTTTAGTGACTTTGTACAGGGGAACACTCAGAATACTGAATGTAACTATTGTAAGACTTTCTATCTAGAGTGGAATGTAATCCATTCTAACTGAAAAGTGTGTGTGTGTGTGTGTGTGTGTGTGTGTGTGTGTGTGTGTGTGTGTGTGTGTGTGTGTTTGTGTGTGCGTGTGTGTTCTAACTCGTATTGACCTTGACAGTTTGTCAAACATCCGGACCAGCTTCATAGCTTCATATTCTTTCTGCTCCTCTGTCATTCCCTCCATGGGATTAGGCTGCTCCTCTTCCACAACTCCTGTTATTGGGTTTATACTGGAGACAAAAAAGAGACAGGCAGAAAAAATTAAAAGAATAGAAAATTGCAATGGTTATTAAAATCTCAAGTTTCATACTTAATTGTTGACATTGGAAACAACATGACAAAAACAATATCACCTTAATGTCCATTAAGTAGCTGATTTGAGAAACTACTAAGCCAACAAGTGTTTTCTTTTGAATCATTTAGTGTTGGAATCGCTCTCAGCCCAGCTGTGCTGTCACTGCAAACTGAGGCCAAGCAACCAAAATCAGTTTCAGGGTGGTCTGGATCACGACTGCTGCTCCCATAGAGTCAGTAGAGATGATTCAGACTTCTAATCAGAAGTCTCTCAGTCGAGGTGTTCCATGCTTGTTCATTTGGGAGGGGATAGGTTGGAGGGGTCATACTGTAAATTCCATCTGCTCTATTTTTATGCTCTGAGCTCTTAGTGTAAAGCTCATGGTGCAAGTACATTTCACATAACACTTATGTTAGTTTAACTGTGCCATGCTTCAAAAAAGTTGCACATAGTCACTTAATTAATCATGGGGGTGTTTGTGTTTAACATGTTATTAACCAATCCGAGTGACATCTACAATTCACTGTAAAATCTAGTTGAGCCTGTACCTGAGTGCATAGATATTATAATAGTGGATTGGCCAAGTAGAACGAGAGAACAGAGAATGAGTGTATGTGGGTTGTGTGAATCTTAAAATAAAAATGAACTGTGCCACTGACTTCAGACAGGGTTTTGATGAAACACTTTTCACTGCAGAAAGCAATGCATTAACGATACACATGACCACAGCTCACTTTAAGACCAACACACTCATGGGTGCTCAGATGGATGCAAGTGCATTTTCTTTTTAAACAATGTAGGTGCTGGAGAGAGACATGGCTTTAGTCTGCACATAGCAAAGACAGTTGTGTAAGACAGATAACTCAATGTTTACACTAAATGTCAAGTTTACTACTTAAAACTAGCAAATGTATTTTGGAAACGCTACAAGGAAACACACTACATCAGGCACTGAGCTAAGTAGACAGTGTAGAAGTGGCACTGACTGAGCCTTGGCCTCTTTGTACTCCTCTGTCTCAGAGTCCTCATCTTCAGAGTAGATCCCAGAGTCTCTGCCCCCCCTCAACAGTCCTCTGGCAGCCAGCAGACCAGCAGCATTACCGTATCCAGTATACTTAATGAACCTTGACACTGAATAAAAAAACAAGTGACTGTTAATACAGCAGAATTAAAAGACATCCATGTCAACAAAAGCAGTTCATTGATAAAGACACTGTCCATATTAAATCCAAATCTTGAGTCGATGTGGGGTAATTTCTACATTAGTACATAACATAACTCATAACAGAGGTGATAGTAATAGGGTCATATTACATAGTTGTTCAACTGCAGAGTTGATGGGTCCACATAGTCCATGTCACAGTGAGCGATGGGCTTAGAGTCACTCATACAGAGAGTGACATGAATCAGTGAAACAAACCATCAAAAAGTTTTTTCCTCACCACTTTCTTTGCAGAGCACAAATAGGAATTCAGCCGCACAGTCCTTAACATCGGTGTCAATGTGTGTCATTATACGAACTAGTTTGTTCCTCAAAGCACAGCCCACCTCTGGTCTGTTTTTTACATCACGCAGTGGAGGTAGCACCTAAACACACACACACACACACACACACACACACACACACACACACACACACGAGCCATCAAAACACCAACAGTGCTCATAATTACTGTCTTCATTGTGGATTTTATTTGCCTCAGCCTCGTACTGACCTTTGACCTGAGGAACTTCCTGGTCTCTCTATGGATGCGTCCGCTCTCAGTCAGCAAGTTCAGTGATGGGAGAAGGGTCTCTCTCAGCTTATGGCCCTGATTAAATAAAAGGCAAACATTTTTGTAGAATAAATACAACCAATCATCTGGACTACAGAAACAAACTAGGAGGACGCTCAGAGAGCATATACTTCCACCAATGCTAGTGTCCAAACTTTGCCATTTAAAAGAATGGGGAAAAAAATTCCTGGCCAGTTTATCAGGATCTGTTACAAAACTGAATGGGTGAATTGCCCCCAACAGAATTGAATGGAAATCAGTTCAGTAGACAAACAGACAAACAAATGGTGGAGAGAATAATCGCTTGATGCACAAGAGAACTGTGTGTGCACAGCTGGTAAGTTGGCCTGCAAACTGTGATGATGAAGTATGGGTACCACCTGTTGGATACACTAACTAACTAACTAACTAAATAATATTTCTGAGCTCTATACCTCTAACCAATCAGACGTGGCCAAAGTCAGGGATCAGAACTCACAGCTGTCAATACATGAAGGTGCTTCTGCTCTACAACTCCTCCCACACTGAGACTTCAAGCTACAATTAGCTGGAATACGTCACTGAAGCTGCTGATTCCTGTGTTAACAAAGAGAGCTAACATGACGAGGGTGGGAAGTGAAAGTTATTTTAGACATTAGGTATTATTTTAACCACATGTACTGTATTTCACAATCATATATAGATCCTCTTTCTCCGGTGTTGGGGCCAACCTGTCGGAAATTCCAGTAAGGGGCCTCTGTGTCAAAAACGTGATGCAAGTTATTTGTGCTGGACTGACCATGTGTCCATACATTGACCCCCTTTTTATAAACCAATCAATGGACCAGGCAACAGCCTGCATGTGTGTGATCAGAGACATAGATCCATTGGTTTGAAGTTCTTGGCTTCCAGAAATGCTATT